GCAAGTTAATTATCCTCATCTGTAAAATGGGGATCACATTCCTACCTCATGAAGCCATGTGAGGAAAACAATGAATGTTTAGTTAATATTTGTAAAGCACTTAGAACAATGCATGCCTGGCATATATTAAGTGCCAAATAAATTTTAAGAAAATAAATACTCTCTCCAGGAAATCTAATTCATGTTCATGTCTTCAACTCCCATCTATACATTATTGTGGAAAATTTTCTAAATTTAAAAATATTTTGAGTGAGCTTTGCCTAAAAAATACATACATAGATGTATCATGATGACATATGGTAAAGACTTGGGAGAAAAAAAATCATTTTCTTTCAAGCACATAATTTCCCAAGTCAAGGTAGTCATTTACTCTTCCCAGTGAGATAAAGAAGAGAGGGTTAGAGAACACTTATGTTCTGGTAACCTCAGAAACCAAAGAAACAAGAACCCAAAGAAAGACGAATGGAGAAAAGGTCTAACTTAAATTTAAATTTGTATAGCCTCTGTTTCTTATTATGCTCACTAAGAAGAAGCAAGAAGTTTTCTGAGATAGTTACAGGTTATTTCATAAAAAGTTATCGTTGGATGTTAAACAAAGAAGGTAGTAGGAAGGGAAAAATGAAGGGGGCGAAATCGGAGTGGGAGATGAACCATGAGAGACTATGGACTCTGAGAAACAAACTGAGGGTTCTAGAGGGGAGGGGGTGGGAGGATGGGTTAGCCCAGTGATGGGTATTTTTTGTTTTATTTTAAAGATTTTTATTTATTTATTTGACAGAGAGAGACACAGCGATAGAGGGAACACAAGCAGGGGGAGTGGGAGAGGGAGAAGCAGGCTTCCCGTGGAGCAGGGAGCCCGATGCGGGGCTCGATCCCAGGACCCCGGGATCATGACCTGAGCCGAAGGCAGATGCTTAACGACTGAGCCACCCAGGCGCCCCCCAGTGATGGGTATTAAAGAGGGCACGTACTGAATGGAGCACTGGGTGTTATATGCAAACAATGAATCATGGAACACCACATCAAAAACTAATGTAATGTATGGCGATTAACATAACATAATAAAATAAAATTTAAAAAATGTTATCGTTGGAAAGGCATTTCATGTTATATCCAAATTCTCAAACTGTAAACTTCAATAATGAGCCATGCAAAATATTCTAATATTCATTGAATCTAGGGAATATGCTTATCGTAGGAAATGGCATTTGCTTACTTCAATGAGCAGTGGTAATGAAACCCATTACTCTATATACAAGACCTTGTTTCTGGTTTTGTTCCGAACTGATTATGCGAGTAAAATAAAAATGGTGGCTCCAGTGGATTTAAAGCCAAATACAATGCAAAGCCTGTTTTCATCCACAAGGAGGATGCCCAAATGTAAATTTCCAGCCTGAGAACTTTCCTCTCCTGTTCCCTGGGTCCTGGTTGGCTGCCCCTCACCCTTCTGGTCTCAGAAGCTTGACATTTTCAAAGAAACCTTCTTTGACCACATACTCTATGTTATGCTCCTTTGTTTTACACTTGCTTAGAACAACATTCCTTCTGTGCACTTGTCATCGTTTGTAATTATACACTTCATAGTTTGCTTTAAAAAAAATCTCTCTGCCCCGTTAGACTTACTCCACCAAAGTAGTGCCTCACATATGGCAGAGAACCAGGCCCTAACACAGTAGCTAGCATACAGTGGGTGCTCAATAAATATTCGTTGCATGGGTGATCTGTTATTTTGGCATTCTGCGGTATACACGTGAGATATGGGCTAAAGCTAGGAATTTGAAAATCATCCGCATTTAAACAGTGTTTAGACACAAGAGAATGTATGAGAGGGCGCCTGGGTGGCTCAGTTGGTTAAGCGACTGCCTTCGGCTCAGGTCATGATCCTGGAGTCCCAGAATCGAGTCCCGCATCGGGCTCCCCGCTCGGCAGGGAGTCTGCTTCTCCCTCGGACCCTCCTCCCTCTCATGCTCTCTATCTCTCATTCTCTCTCTCTCAAATAAATAAATAAAATCTTTAAAAAAAAAAAAGAGAGAATGTATGAGATCACCCATCCCAAGGAGAAAGTGGAGAGAGAGGGTGAAAAGTCTGGAACAGAGCCTTGGGGGTCCCGACATTTATTTGGTATTAATCAGGAAATGTGGGCAAAGGATACGAAAAAAGAAGGAATGGATAGAGAGGTAAAAAGAAATTCGGGGAGAATGTGCTGCCAAGAGAGCCAAGAGACGAGACTCTCAAAAGAAGGTAGGAGTGGCTGGTTGTGGAAATACAGCTAAGAACTAAGACCAGGCGAGAAATATTGCCATTGAGTTTGACAGATTCAAGGTCATTTGTGACATTGATAAGAGCAACTTGGGGGGAGGAATAGCAATGTCAGGTGAAAATGGCTTGGGACAGGAGGTGAGCAACTGGAAGTAGCTGGTGTATAATACTTTTCCAAGAAGCTTTGCTGAGAAGGAGAGCAGGAAAACGGAGCTGTGGAGGAGTGAGGAGGCATCAACTGAGTTTGTTGTTGTTGTTTTCATTTATTTATTTATTTTACCCTACCGTCTTTATTGTTTTAAAACAATTGTCTACATGAATTCCAGAATGGTCAGCAAATCCATTCAAAGAAATAACCCATTTCTCCATGTGAGGAGCAAGGAGCATTTTTAGAAAATCATTTGAACACGTATCTTTTTAAAAATAAAGTATAATGAACATACAGTGCTATATTAGTATCAGGTGTATAATATAATGATTCAACAATTCTGTACTTTACTCAGGGCTCATCATGATACAATACGTGTACTCTTTTTTTTTTTTTTAAGACTTTATTTGTTTATTTGACAGAGAGAGACACAGCGAGAGAGGGAACACAAGCAGGGGGAGTGGGAGAGGGAGAAGCAGGCTTCCTGTGGAGCAGGGAGCCCAATGCGGGGCTCGATTCCAGGACCCCGGGACCATGACCCGAGCCGAACAACTGAGCCACCCAGGCGCCCCATGATATGCATATTCTTAATCCCCTTCACCCATTTCACCCATCCCTTTACCCTGTTTTGTATGTTTTCTTTTTAAATTTTAATTCCAGTACAGTTAATATACAGTGTTATATTAGTTTCAGGTGTACAATGTAATGATTCAACAATTCTATACGTTATTCAGTGCTCATTGTAAGTATTTTTTTTTAAAGTGGAAGTTACTAGCATATGTACGATAATGCGAAATATTCATAGAAAGAGAGACTACTTATTTAGTAATGAGAAATGATAATAAGAAGACAACATTCCTTAGAAGTTTACTGATAAGGAATCCCTGCTGGCCTTACAAGGTCATTCTTCTTTGATCTACCTCTATGCATAAGAGCTCATTAAAAAGTGATTAGCATGACTTCATAATGCAGCCCTGGAAGGGTCATGTCAAATCACTCTGGAAAGATCTTCAAGAAATGCTACTTTCTCAGCTTCCCTGGGGCTGGGAATTAGCTCTAGGGTTTCTCAATCTTAGGTGCTAATGGCATTTTGGTTCAGATACTCTTGTGTTGTGGGGCTGTCCTTTGCATTGTAGGATGTTTAGCAGAACCCCTGCCCTCTACCCAGTAGATACTAGTAGTTTCCAGTTGTGACAACCCAAAACCAGACATTGCTAAATGTCCCAATTGACAACCAGTGGGTTATTCAAGCCTAAGGAAGTCTAATTAAAAAAAAAAAAATCAGCTAATCTTAACAGCTCTGTAAATGTTGATAGTTTTCATTGTGTTACGCTGTCATGGAAAATTATTCATAAACCTGGTATGAAAGCATACTGTGCTATACATACATGTTCATATTTTTTAACTCCTAAAGAAGTGATGTAATATAATTTTTAACATTTTAAGTAGAAAGAACCATAAAAGAAAAATCAGGCGCCCCACCTGATTTTTTTTTTCTTTTTAAGATTTTATTTTTGGGGCGCCTGGGTGGTTCAGTGGGTTAAGCGTTGGATTCTAGATTTCCGCTCAGGTCATGATCTCAGGATCCTGAGATCAAGCCCTGCCTTGGGCTCAGTGCTGGGCTTGGACCCTGCCTAAGATTTTCTCTCTCCCTCTGTCCCTCCCTCCTCCCTCTGGCCCTCTCTCTTAAAAAAACAAATTTTATTTTTTAAGTAATCTTTACACCCAATGTGGGGTTCAAAGTTACAACCCCAAGATCAAGAGTCATATTCTCCACCACTGAACCAGCCAGGCGCCCCTATAAACTTGGTTTTCTTAATTGTGTGTGTGTTTTAACAGGCTCATTGTATAAAAATGAAACAAAACAAAAAAGCCAGATACATTAAAAAAATTAAAATCCTCATAATACCATCCCTGAACATTTTGGTGCATATCCTTTAGGACTTTCTGTGCAATCATTCATTTATTCATTAACTTATTTATTACACATCTCCCTCAGAGAGGATAAAAACGGGGCAGTGAAAGGAGGTTTTGTTTTTTTAATGGGAGAAATTTGGGCATGTTTTAAAAAAGCCAGTGGAAAGAAAGACCTAGTTTAGAAAGAGGAAAATGGGATGATCCTTCGAGTGAGGTTTCCGAGAAGGAATGGATTTTAAGCACAGAAAGGAGGGATCATCTTTTGATTAGAAAAAAAAAAAAAAAAGGCGTTTTGAGAGGACGGAAAGAAGATCCACATAGACACAGGAACACATGTATCTTATTGTATCTACATGTAAGTACACTGCTGTATCTGCTTGTAGGTATGTAGGAATCTCCCTGGACACTTAGGTAGATATTTTTACTTTACTACACATATATATCGTATTGTATCTACGTTTCCTACCGTGGGAGCGAGTTTGGAACCCGCTTTTTCACTTACTCTATTGTAACCACTTTCCCCCACGCCGTTACTCTTCCCATCATTTTTGCAGTACCGTAACGCACGCCAGTAGTTGTTTTTAAACCCACCTCAGTGTTGGACATTTTGGCCGTTTACAATTTTTCACCATCATCATTGCCGTGACTTAACATGTTGACGGTGAAATATTTGTAGATACCCAGGATTGTTTTCGGAACAGAAATTCGTGCCAGTGGAATTGCTGAGTCAAACAGTCTGCAAAATTCGGTGGATAAAAATCGCTTTTAAGCCTCATAGTCCGCCTCAGGTATGCATTCTTTACCTGAGGAGGAAGCAGAGGAGCAGAGAGGTTAAATAACTGGCCCAAGGTCAAAAATAATTACAAGTGGCGGATTTCAAAAGCCGCGCGAGCTCATCTTGCTGCGGCAGGGGTAGAATTTGCGGTTTAGCTTTTTTTTTTTTTTTTTGGTGTGTTTCGGTGGGGGAGGGGCCGGGCGGCAGGGAAGGAAACTTGTGTCGCAGCAAAGAAGGAGGAGGAGGAGGGGCGGGACTCCAGTCGGATCGCAGCCGGACGAGGCGACAGAGGCTGGGCCCGGGCTCGGCGGGCCCCCCAGCCGCTGTGCGGGGCGCCTCGGAGGCGGTGACCCACCCCGCTCAGGGAGGTCTGGCCGCTAGCCGCGAGCCGCAGCCGGGCGGTTGCCAAGGGCCTACCCCGGCTGCTGGGTTAGTTGCTACGGCCTCCATCTTGAGGCCGGTGGCCGCGGCGCCCCCGGAAGGGGTTGCCGAACAGGGCATTCACTTCCGGTCTGGGGCCTGCGGCGGCGGCGGTGGCGGCGGCGGCGGCGGCGGCGGCGGCGGCAGCGGGTCGGTGTAGAAAATGGCGCTGGTGCAGCGGCTCGGGCCTCTCCCCGCGGCGCTGCGGAGGGTTTGAGGCTCGCGAGCCTCACTCGCCGCGCCCCACTTGCTCGTGCACTTTACACACATGAGGTGAGTGGGGCGGGGGCCTCCATCCGGGCGGGAGGAGCCTGGGGCGCTGCCGCAGGGCCCCGCGACCGCGGGCGGCGGCAGCAGCGG